AAAAAAAAAAAAAAAAAAAAAAAAAAAGTCAGTGTGTGAGCAGAAACATGACAACCAAGAACATGAGGCAAAGTTTAATCTAATATCAAGAATATTCTCCAAACATATATACAGCTTGAGTATGTGTAATCTGACAATTGAATTGTGAAAATTATGAAATTACATTTAGGTATTGTATACAGATGTATATAAAATAAGAAAATTTGAGTTTTCACAGGAATTCATCTTTATAAGATCTATTTATGTATACATGTGAATAAAACACATTTAGTATCTAAAAATTTCTAATAATCAGGAAGTATTCAAAGTATAAATGAATGCTAGTGTTTCAATATGTGCTTTCAAACCATTCTCCAGGGCATTGAGTCCATGCTGCTTTAATCTTAGAAGGCTGATGGAATATTAAGTACATTCACTGTGATAATCAGTGCATAGATGTCTCTTAAAGTTGGTCCAGGCATACTTCTCCTGGGTATATTCTCAAAAGAGTCAAAATCATATTGTATAGATACATGCATTCCTGTAGTCAAAGTAGGCCAATTTGTAACATTTAAGCCCTTGAATATCTATCACTGTATGCATAGATAGGGAAAATTATTGATATGTTCTGTGTGATTGTGCATTCTTGTAAATCCTGCATTCTGGGAAGTAGATTTTGCTGAATGGGAAGCTGAAGTTCAGCCTGAACAACTTAATCATCATTGAAAATCTCTCAAAAGAAATAAAAAAGCTGGAGATTTTGTGCTAAGACCTGTGTTTCATTCCCAGCACTGAAAAGAAAAAGGAAGTATGCTCTAGAACCAGCCAAAAAGATAAATAATATCATGTCATTTGCCAAAAGAAATAGGTGTGTCTTCCTCCCATAATGTTTTTTTGTTTGTTTGGTTTTTGGGTTTTTTTTGGCTTTTTTCCGGTACTAGGAATTGAACTCAGGAACTTGTGCTTGCCAGGCAGGCGCTGTGCCGCTGAGCTAAATCCCCAGCCCCTTCCTCCCATAATGTTTAGTGAAGTAATTCAGCCTCATAATCTGAAATGTCACTTGGTTTCTCCTTTATGAGAAACCAAATGTTATAAATTACAGAATAAAATGAAGGAAAGGTGATAGAGAAAGGAATGACTGACTTTTGGAGAGGGAAAGACTAACAGGTTAAGGAGAGAAGGGGGAAAGTGGAGGAAAAGATCAAAACGATCAATTTGTGATGCACATATGTACCCATTGCCCAAAATGAACCTAGACATTCCGTATTTCTAAATATACCAACTTTAAAATTCCCAAATGCTGCTGGGGATATAGCTCAGCAGCACAAGTGCCTGCCTGGCAAGCACAAGTTCCTGAGTTCGATTCCCAGTACCAAAAAAAATTCCTAAATGCATACTACTCTTTTGGGAATGGCTGTTTTGAACATATCCTGTAAGGCATTCAGTTAATCAGTGTCAAAATTTCAGGGGCTGGGCATTTAGCTCAGCGGCACAGCGCCTGCCTGGCAAGTGGGAGGTCGTGAGTTTGATTCCCGGTACTGGAAAAAAAACAAAAAAAAAAAAACAAAAAAAATTTCACAGCAGGCATCGAAACAGAACTTTTTCTGGCAGAACACTGACAGAACAATTTTATTGTGACATTTTTTCTTTACAGAAATGAAGAGGTAGAGAAATACTATCAGTGTAATGCTTGGAATCAATATAAAGAAATACTCTTTTGTACTCCAGATGCTAATGTGGACGTGAAACAAACAGACACACACAGTGATGTTCAGATCCATGAAAAAAATCACACTGGAGGGAAACCCCATGTATGTAAGCAATGTGGGAAAGCTTTTACCACACGTGGAAATTGTCAAATACATGAAAAACTTCACACTGGTGAGAAGCCGTATGTATGTAGGCAATGTGGGAAAGCTTTCAGCACACGTGGTGCTTGTCAAAGACATGAAAGGACTCACACAAGTGAGAAACCCTATCTATGTAAGCAATGTGGGAAAGCTTTCAGGAGAAACAGTCATTGTCGAACGCATGAAAGAGTTCACACTGGGGAGAAACCCTTTTTATGTAAGCAGTGTGGGAAAGCTTTCACCACACATGCATATTGTCAGATACATGAGAGACTTCACACTGGTGAGAAACCCTACATATGTAAGCAATGTGGGAAAGCTTTTGGCAGAAACAGTCATTGTCAAAGACATGAAAGAATTCACACTGGGGAGAAACCTTATCTATGTAAGCAATGTGGGAAAGCTTTCACCACGTATGGATCTTGTCAAATACATGAAAGACTTCACACTGGGGAGAAACCCTATGTATGCAAGCAATGTGGGAAAGGTTTCACTACACCCAGATCTTGTCAAATACATGAAAGAATTCACACTGGGGAGAAACCCAATGTATGTAAGCAATGCTGCAAAGCTTTCAGAACACGTAGATGTTGCCAAATACATGAAAGAATCCATAGTGGGGAGAAGCCCTATGTATGCAAGCAATGTGGGAAAGCTTTCAGCACAAACAGTCAGTGGCGAACACATGAAAGACTTCACACTGGAGAGAGGCCTTATATATGTAAGAAATGTGGAAAAACTTTCAGCAGAAATAGTCATTGTCAAAGACATGAAAGAATTCACACGGGGGAGAAACCCTATGTATGTAAACAATGTGGGAAAGCCTTCACCACACATGAATATTGTCAAATACATGAAAGAATTCACATTGGGGAGAAACCCTATGCATGTAAACACTGTGGGAAAGCTTTCAGCACATGCAGATCTTGTCAAATACATGAAAGAATTCACACTGGGGAGAAACTATGATGTATGTAAATAATGTGGGAAAGCTTTTAGCATAATTATTGAGGAACTCATGAAAGAATTTACACTGGGAGAAAACACTATGTAAGCAATTTGGAGAAGATTTCAGCATGTACTGGCTTTGTCAAATGAAAGTTTTCACACTGGGGAGAAATCCTATAGATGTAAGCAATGTGGGAAAGTTTTTAGTAGAAACACTCATCGTTGAAGACACAAAAGAATTCACATTGGAGAGAAACCCTATCTATGTACGTAAGCAATGTGGGAAATCTTTCACCACCCACAGATCTTCTCAAATACATGCAAGAATTCACACTGGGGAGAAACCTTCATGTATCTAAACAGTGTGGAAAATCTTTTAGCACAAACAGTCATTGGTTAACACATGAAAGAATTTCCACTGGGAAGAAACACTATATATATAAGCAATATGGGAAAGCTTTTAACATTAACCATCAGTCAAAAACATGAAAGAGTACACACTATGGAGAAATTCTATATATTTAAGTAGTATGGGAAACCTTTAAGCAGAAATAGCTATTGTCAAAGACATAAAAGAATTCACCCCAGGGAAAAGTCCCATGCATGTCAACAAGGAAGGAAAACTTTCAGCGTGAACCATCTTCGTTAAATACATGAAATTGTTCACACTGGGGAGAAACCTGATATGTGTAAGCAGTGTGGAAAGGCTTTCAGCAGAAACAGTTATTGTGGAAGACGTGAAATAATTCACACAGGAGAGAAACTTTATGTATGTAAACAGTGTGGGAAAGCTTTCATGGCACATAGGTGTTGTCAGATACATGAAAGACTTCACACTGGGAAGAAACTATGTATGTAAGCAATGTGACAAAAGCTTTCTGCAGGTACAGTGAATGTAAAATACTTGAAAAACCTCACACTGGTGATTTATTCTATGTATATATAAGCAACATGAGAATACTTTGAGGACACATGATCACATACATTCTGTGGTTTTTCAGTATGACCTATACATATCTACAATATGTAGCTCTAGGGTTTAACATGAAAATGATGGGTTGATATAAATTTAATTTTTGAGTGTCTTTGTGCTTAGTCCGTAGCGTCTTTTAATTAAACTTGGTGAATTGAGAAATGTACTTTTTACTTTCAAGTGTGATTAGTGTCTAGGTAGTTAATGTTTTGTCTTTAAAATTGGGGAGGTAAAGACCACTAAAAAACTTAATTGTTATTTTTTTTCTTAATTGTTGCAATTTTGCCACTGCATTTGTTTCAGTTTTTTGGTGCATCTTCTCTGTAACAAATGATGTTTCTGAATATGATGCTACATTTTATATTAAGATATATATTTTTTCAGAGGCTTGTGAGCATGTGTTTTTGACAAAGTTGAGTTGTTTTTCACACAGCTTACAGATTAGCAAATGTTATATTTTTGATGTGGTAACAAGATACCTGCTTATATCCTAACATCACTGTGTATTATGTCATGCATATAAAACATGTATATTAAAAGATGTCCTGTTACTGCCTCAGCTTCAGTTTCATGCAAAGCCCTATTTTGTCAGTGATACACCTGCAGCCCTGTCTTGCTCTGTGGTAGAACTGAGAATTTGCAACTTATACTGTCCTTTTGGTAGGTAAGGTGTGATGGTTTGGCCATGTAGACATAATACAGACATGATAATCCTCTATTCAAGGGGGAAGGCATAATTTATATGTGAAAAGTGTGGTTTATTCACGGTGAAAATAAACTGTCTAGGATTATTGTTACATTATGTTTACATTATTGATTCCTCTTACATAAATTATTGACTTTTCTCTCTTGATGTGGAGTATTTCTGAAGGGATTTACTTAAAACTGAATATTGAACTCAATGCTTTTAGTACAAATCTGACCATCGATGTTGACACTATTGTCTAATTATATAGACTTTTACCCTTATTTCAGGATATGATTTTTTTTTAATACGATTTTTTTTTAATACAGGGAATCAGCCTCGGGTCCTTGTGCTTGCTAGATAGGCGCTGTGCTGCTGAGCTACATCCCCAGCTCATGATGTGATTTTGATACACATACTTCTGTAATAATATACTTTGCATATGAGCATATGGAAGAGGTCAGAGAATATTCCTCATAGGTAGAGTGCATGCTTCTTAGAAATGACTTCCTACAATCCATCTGCTACAATGACAACACCAAAAAATACCAGATTGGTGACATTATCTCTTCTTAGAACTTCCCAAGTTTTCTCTGTTATAACCTGTATAATATTGATACTTAAGAATGGATGGAAAATCTCATGTTATAGTAGTATATTTTGTAAAAAATAGCTCTGTGGTGAAGTAAAACATTTATTCTGTAAAATAAGCATTCTAAGTGTCTAAACACTAAGACCATAAGATTCAGTTATTTATAAATATTGTTTCTGAACCCTGTGCAGTTATTTCCAACTATAATCACTGATCTGTTCTTAACTTTCTCTTCTCAATCACTCTCTTTCCTGCCTTTATTCCTTGGCTCGTTGTAGGTAGTCATGCTGATAATGACTATCCAAAGTCTTTGAGGATTCCCATTTGTTAGGTATTGTCTTCCAGCCCACTTTAGTAAGGTACAATTAACTTACTTTTGCTGTTTACTTAAGTTAAATCATGCAGAAACTATCTGCGCTCAGTTTAGAACACTTTCATTCCCTCCTCAGAAATTATTTTCTTCAACCAGTACTTCACTTTTCTGAAGCCTCATATAGCACTAATAAACTGTCCATCACTACAGAAACTGTGTGGGCCAGGGATTTAGCTCAGTGGTGCAGTACCTGCCTGGCAAGTGTGAGGTCCTGAGTTGGATTACTGGTACCTCACCCTCCTCAAAATAGAAACTGCACTTGCACACATACTGAAGAGACAGAAACTATTTACACATAGTTGCTGTATTTAGGAGATAATTAGAAATATACATGTTAGGCTGGTAAACTTCTGTGTTATTGACTACTCAAAAAGAAAAAGCAAGACCACGGTGCACATGCGTGGGCATGCTTGCACACACACACACACACACACACACACACACATACACACACAGTGTTTTAATATGTGCTGCTATGTATGATCAGAGAACTGTGTCAGCAAGAAAGCTATCACCATATGAAATTGTCCTCCACTGCCATAAAAAATAATGGACACATTTTTTCTTTCTACCTTATTGAGTGTGAAGTATCATGTTTAGTTTCAAGAACTGAGGGCCAGGGGGCGCTGGGGTTTTAGCTCAGCGGCACAGTGCCTGCCTGACAAGCGCAAGGTCCTGAGTTCAATTCCCGGTACCGGAAAAAAAAAACCCCGAAAAACCAAACAAAAATAAAAGAGAGAATTGAGGGCCAGGGATAGCTCAGTAGTACAAGCACCTGCTTGCCAAGCGCAAGGTCCTGAGTTCGATTCCTGGTACCAAAAAAAATAGTTTGGAGAATTAACTGACTATAACTATGTGATTTATTGTTCCAGCAACTGGCAGATTTTACAACATGACTTGCTCTTTACATTTGCAGTAAGAGTTTGTGAGTTTTCTCCATATGCTCAAAAAATTATTACTAATCTAGTGTACTCAGAGGTATTCTTTCCTGATGCCTACTAATAATGTGGTCCTAAGAGTTTCAAACTCATGAGTTCTTCTTTCCAAGGAAATCAGAAATATTAGTGTTTTGGGGTCTTTTTGAGATAGGGTTTCACTATGCAGTTCATGATGGCCTTGAACTGAATTTGAAGTCCAGGATGGCCTTGAACTCACAGTGATTCTCCTACCTCAGGCTCCCAAGTAGTGGGATTACAAGTGTGTGCCACCACGCCTGACCAGAAATATTAGTTTTATTTGAAAGATTGCTTCTCGGCCTTTTGGCTAAGATCAAGTGTAGTATCTGTTCTTATCAGTTTAGTGAAAGAGCAGGAAACATCCATCATATACATATGTTTTTGTCTTTGGTTTTTGGTTTTTTGGTTTTTTTTCCGGTACCGGGGAATTGAACTCACAACCTTGCACTTGCCAGGCAGGTGCTGTGCCTCTGAGCTAAATTCCCAGCCCCTATCATATACATATGAAGTGGATGAATTAACTGTCCTATACTTAAAGAAAAAGTGTAAACTTTTATGTCTAATTAAATTGGAGCATAAGGGATCAGAAGATGTATTTCTATTGCTGATGTGTTGGGGATGCCATGCCAGACTATTCCAGTGTCAGGGAATATCACAGATGAGAATACAAGTCAAATTTGAATGCGCTGAATTATATCTATATATATGGATAGCTGGCATAACTGTACTGCTGTTGTCTGGTCATTTGTTGAGGGGAGCAGTTAATGATTAAATTTTTCTTTACATATTTTGACCAATTTTGCATGCTTGTATCTGGTAATCTGAGCAATTTATGTGAAGACAGAAATTTGCTGTATAACAACTGTTGGTGGGGCTGGGGATATGGCTTAGTGGCACAAGCGCCTGCCTGGCAAGCACAAGGTCCCGAGTTCAATTCCTGGTGCAAACACACACACACACACACACACACACA